CTTTATTTATAAAGCGCTTTCAGACAAAGTGCTGAACAGTTAAAAAGATAAAATCAACATAAAAAAGTGTGAGAACAAGTAAAACATTGAAAAAGGATAAAATACAAATGTAAAATTTAAGTCACTTAAGACAAAGTGTACAGGTGGGTCTTTAGCTTAACTTTAAAAATGATGATAAGGTCGTATTTCCCTGTTTTAGTGAGGATAGCCATATTCTGAACAATCTGCAGGCCTTTAAAACTTCTCTTTGGAAGCCCAGAGAGAAGAGCATTGCAGTTGTAAACGATGACACAAAAGCATCGATGAGGACCTCGGCATTTTCAAATGAGAGTATGTGTTTAATTTTTGCAATGTTCCTGAGATGATAAAAAGCCATCTTTTTTTACTTCTTTTAAATGAGACTCGAAGGAGAGCGTAGGGTCAAACAGCACATCCAAGTTCTTCACTTTTTCCCTACATATAATATTATGACCCCCAATATTTAAGCTAAGGTTTTGGAACAAATGGTGACATTTTGAGGGTCCAATGATCATCAAATCAGGAATTTAATCATCAGGGCAACTAGAGTCTCAGTCTTGAGTGCATTTAAGTGCATCTAGATGTTGTTCAGCTATATTTTGATTTCTGACAGTTTCTGACAGAGTTAAGTCACTTTGTAAATCTCTGAGGTCCGAAAGGAACAAGTGATGACATCAGCATACAGATTAAAAAAATATCCCCTAAAGGCAATGAATACAAAAAAAAAGAATAAATAAATAAAATTTGGGCCCAAAACTGAGCCTTGGGGTACCCCACAAGACAGCGGTGCAACATCAGAGTAAACCTGATTCATAAAAACAATAAAACACTGATCAGATAAACAAGATGTGAACTAATTCATGAGATATTTTGCTAAAACACAGACATGGTTGATACAAAAATATTGATTCACATCAGCAGTTTGGCTTCAGTAAAATATGGTCTTTCAGTTTTTCAACACAACATCCCAATTCAAAAATGCCTATTTTTATTTATTCTTCCCCTCCAGCTATGGAGTCTCATGAAAMTTTGCAGAGTCTGGCAATGAAGGAAGGACTGAAAGGCTCCAAGGTCAGCCGAGCACTCGAGAGCTTCAGCTGGAATATCACCATCCTGAAGGTCAGTCGGGACGCTCATCGACAAATCGCCGCCTTCGGCTCGTCGCTCATCCTTCGGCTCATCGCTCATCCTTCGGCTCGCTTTTAACCTTCTTTTTTTCTTTCTTTATTCCACCTCAGGGCCAGGCCGACCTGCTGAAACACGCCAAGGCCGAAGTCAGGGAGAACATGAAGCAGGTGCACGACGCCGCCCTGACGGGAAACCTCACCAAGGAGGGGGCGGGGTTAAGGAGAGGTCGCTCCCAAACGGGGCGAGGTCAGGACGAGACCGCAAGTGCTTAGAGGCCTCTGCGTCCTATTAGGGCGGCCATCAAACAACAAATAACTCTGTCGAAGTGGCTGTGATAAAAGCTTTCATACGCCATTGATTTGTTCTCAAACTCTTAATATGAAGGGGGCATCGCAGCAACTCGTCTCTCAGAAGGATGAAAAACTCAAAGCCTTTACTGCTGAACATTTCAGCTGCAGGTGCACTGCTGGTAGGAGATGCAGGAATTGCAACGCCGAAGAGATGAATGTAATTCGACTCGAAGCCAAGGTTCAGGTGTTTGTACTGTTGTCAGCTGTAAACAAACCAAATGTTTGTTCTTTACCTCTCGTGTGCAATTATTTGTTCTGTTCGTTTTACGTCTAAAGGTGTGTCGTGATTGCATCTTTACAATCAAACAGGCTTGTTAATCTCAGCTRATATGTCCTTAAATTGCAAAAAAAAATTAAAAAGAAAGAATAAAATAAATGCAATTTCAACTTTAAATCAGTTCAGGTTGCAGAATATTTTGCCCTTTAAAAAAAAGACTGACAAATCTTTTGATCCTGCTCGACGGTTTTTGTTTGTTTGTTTGTTTGTTTGTTTTTGCAGCTTGTTTTTGTGTTAAACACCCTTCGCTCCCACATTTGCTGCTCTGCATTCAGTTGCCGTGAGGTTGTCCTCACACCTTCACCCTTTAACGCAATATTCTGTATTTTTGTATTCCCCTGAAACCCCGCCTCTTGATAATGAAACCACTCTTTCCCGCCATACTGATCAACTCCAGACGTGTTGATGTCTGCCTCTGGGAAAAAAAAATGATACTGTTACTGCTGAAGGTGTTTACTTTGCGTGCTAAACCCTGTACAGTACTTAAATATGTGATTCTATCCTTTTGCTGTAAAGATTTTTTTTTTACATAAGTTATTGATGCTGAATGGAAAAAGGAAAAACATTCCAGATTCTTGTTGTTGCATTAGATATGGGACGAGAAGGAAATAAAGACCATTTTCTTTCAATGACTTATGTTTAAATGGCTGCTTTTCTTTTCCTGCTAAGGCCTTTTTAATATGGATTGATTTCTTCATGACACTAGTTGTGTTGCACAGGGCCGAGCTGACAGCTGGGGCCGCTCAGCTGCTGTATATGGAAGGCAGGCATATGGCTCCGTGCTTATGTGCCGCCAACAACACCTACAGGCGCCCATTTGAGGCCTCCACGCTTCATCGAGGACGAATCAACAAGCAGAAATAATCAGATTTTTTGGATGTTTTACTGYGCAGTTGAAGCATGTCTGTGTACCTTTTTTTTTTTTTGTAGTTTTCAGTTAAATCGGATTTAAGTTTCATCATCGCACAAGACTGACAAGTGAAACCAAATCATTCATCCAGTCAGAAAAGACAACCAGATTTTTGCTTTRAGCCATGACTAACATAGGTTTCTGACACTTGATGATACATTTAACTTTTGACTTTAATTTAAAATCACAATGTTGCAATTCTTTTTTTTTTTTCAGATAAATGTGGCTGCAACTGCAGAAAAAGTTTAGCATCCTTTGGAATACACCTTTATCTAAAATGAAACATTGCAAAGTCATCAAATAAATAAATTTATGATAACTTTGCAATGTTTCGTTTTAGATAAAGATCTGCACAATGTTTTCTCATATTGATGATTAATGTCTTTATATTAAAAATGTTTGAGCTGGTTTCTACCAGTATTTATTTACCTTTAGAAACATTCAAAATGACTGAAGAAACAACAAGAAAAAGTCCAATAMGGATGACATTAGGCTGGAAGACATCCAGCCTGATTTAGGACAGTCACATGACTCGAGCTTGCCATATAACAAAATTTGTCTGGCCCAGTTCTGGCCCACACAAGGCACTCACCCCAGGTACCACAAAGAATGATGGATTTTTGTTGGCCCAGATGTGGTCCATGCATGGGCCAGCACTCCATAAACCAAACCACAACCGGGCCAGTTAAGACATGCCATCTTAAAAACAGTGACATCGTTGCCAGACCTGGCCCAAATCTGACTGACAAACCAGTTGCCGTAGTAGCCAGCAGTGTCAGCTTGACACCACATCTGGCCCACACATCTGCTACGTGTATGTGGCTTCTGTTTGACTTTTGACAGACTGAGCTGAGTGCTTTGGCTTACATCACGTGTCAAAGCCCGTGGGCCACATTCTTTCTGTCCCACCAAAGAAAAGAAATATATACATATAAACTTAATCTAGTATGAAAATAGTTTCTATGTAAATGGTAAACTTTAAATGTATGATTCAATGCAACAAAATAAACACTTTAAAAAAGGTAAAAGATAATACTTGTCCAGCCCCTGAGCTGTTGGCCTTAACTGTGCAATTGAGTTGAATAGCTCATATTAATGTCTCAAAATAAGCTGCACTGGCCATAAACTACATCTCCCAGAATGCATGTTGATTATGCATGGAACATCCCTGATGGAAGGTGGGAGAGTTCAAAAGTCAAGATGGCAACTACTCACAACTCATCAGGGAGCAGAATTGTTTAGTATTTCTATATTATTTCACATTTACTAAGTCGTACACAAAGTACTTTTTTGTGTCAAAACACTGTTTCTATGCAGGAAATACCACATAGAGCTCCGTTATGGTTTGTTAGTGGTGCTCAGTCGAAGCAATGAGACGAGGAACGTATTGTTTCCTGTTTAGTCAAAGTTAAACATGAAGCATGAAAGTTTCAAACTGCATCATTTGATCTACTTCAGGATAATCTGTTTGAGTTTATAATTTGCAACAACTACCATTAAGGTAATTAGATTTCTAAATATAAACACGTTTCTGCAAATCTGAGACTTTTTTATAATCTTGTTAATCATAATTACATTACCTAATAAGGTGGACATTTCGTCACAACCAGGATCCATCAACAGATAACATTTTGTTGTGTTATATCTCACATTTTACATGTTTATTTTAAAACTGTGACATTWTAAACGGTCACTGAGGACTGATGCCTCAAATGCAGTTCACAGAAGGTAATATGTACCTGTTTGAAAGATGATTACTGTTGAGTGCAGCAGTGCTGTAAACAAACCAGGTGAAGGAGACATCCTAACAAACCAAACAACGTTTTCAAAGTGACAAAGCACTCCCCAGACATCCATCAGCATGTAGCCAGAGCAATGAAGTTTTATTGATCTCGGGTTAATTTTCGCTAACTGAGCGGCTGCCTCACAAAGTTTCCACAGAGCACAGAAAACAGCCCACTGCTAATGTGAAAACTCAATCACACTGAAACATTCACAATGGATTAGGGTCTAAAAACAAAGAACAGAAAAAGAGACRTTTCTTAACTGAATCACTTTGTTGGAAATTAAGAGGCTAAAGTGTTAAAATACTGTCCCAATAATAATAGTAAAAAAAAAAAAAACAGAACTAAGATCACAGAGTTAGGTTTGGTTTGGCTGAGAGAAGAATGGTCAGAGGCACTGGTTTTGGAGAAGGCTTCCCTCAAAAGCGACTGGGGGACATCTTCCTTGTTTCCTTACCGTTTCAGAGACAGACAGGCAGATGGACATGTGGACATTATGTATGGCTAGATCTCCACTTTCAGGAAAAAAAACATAGACCTTCAATCAGAACACTAAGAGGAGTGCATCTTCCTGTGGTGGAGAACTGCAGTTTGAGGTCCAATCCTTCAGAYGTTGTGACGCAGCTCAACAGCACCCTCTGTCTGCAGAGAGGGGAACTACAACAAAGAGGAMCAGGTGAGGAAGATGATTTCCCAAGAAAAACAAAAGGCCCAACGTGATGAKGAGACATGCGAGGTGAGACAGCTTCGAGCATCAGGACAGACGTGGAACAGATGACGATTAAAGAGACAGAGTATGAGGTTTTTGTGACTAAACATCACAGTTCACATGTGCAATTTTAACAGCAGTTTTTGGTGGCAGGCCATCAAAAGCAGCTGACACCCCCAAGAGTGTTTTTATTTATTAGACCCCGCTCCCCCTCTGAAAATATGAAGCAGAGGTGGAGAACAGGGGGCGATGAACTCATTCACAGGTCGTTGGGGTTGACAATGGTGAAGTCGGAGTCCTTGCTGTGGGTGGAGCCCTCCTCTGGGCTGGAGGAGCCCGAGGCGGCGCCGGCCGTCAGCGGGTCGTGGAAAGTCATCGGGGCGCCCTCGGGCTCCATCCGCACCACGCCGCGCCCTCTCCTCGCAGCGAGCGTGTGCTCGGGTGCGGCCCTGCCCCCTCCGCCGTCCCTGCCCTCAGCCAGCAGGTCCCCATCCTGGGACACGAGGATGTAGTCATCCCAGTTCCTACCGTCTGAGCCCAGAGACGACGCTGCCTGTGAAAACCAGAATCAGCAAAATATCTCAAGGGTCCACAGGACAGATTTTAATCAGACTGTCAGACTGCTAACCTGTTGCTCAGGTGGTGTTATCGCCACCTCCTCCTCCTCTTTCTCGTCGGTGCTCTCGCTCCCATCCAGATGGGCGTCTCGGCCCCACCTCCCGCCTCCCCCTGCCGGGGTCTCGCTGTGATGATTGACGGTCTTCAGAGCCGCCGCCGCCGCAGCCGCCGTTGAAGTGTAGTGATCGTCGGCGATGGTGATCTCTTCGTTCTCCTCCGACTCCAGCTGACTCTGATTGAAGCGCAGCGCCCCCTTTAGGATGTCTTTGATCTGAGGGGGGGCAGTGACATCATTAAAACTGAACAGAACATCACAAATCTGCTAACATCCGCTCAGAAGTTCACCTGTTTAAGTCCAGCCAGTGACACCAGAACTTCATCCTCCTTATTCAGGTTTTCTTGGAGAATCACTTCCTGGATTTTACCTGCAGAAAAACAACCGTCGCTCGTGGACAACTCAAATCTTGGTCACTCTTAATGAATAGTTAAAACAACTTATGTGACAAATGTTTTTAAACAACTTGAACTCACAGATGTGTGTATTCATCATTTTGGCACAGTACTTGCTCATGGCCTCCAGGTCATTAATCTGCCCCTGCAGGAACGACACCTGCGCCTCCAGGTCCTCCTCCTGTTGTTACACAAATAAAATCCCAGAAGATAAGAAAGAAAAGGAGGATCAAAGGGGAAGTCGAGAGAAGCTGAACAAGAAAAATCCTCACCGTCTCCCTCCCTCTGCTCATGGTTTTACTGTGAGAACGAGAGCGAGTGATGCTGAAGAAGGATTCTTTCTTGGTGGCAGAAAGGGGAGGGGATGAAGTGCTGACATCACTTCCTCTGGAGAGGGGTTGGGGTGGGGAGGCAGTGGACTGACCCCGCCCACCGGACAGGCTCTCTGTGCTCGGGGAGGAGCTGACCATCTGAGAACTTTGACCTGAGAACGATGGAGGGAAACACAGAAAGGTTCACTTTAGGTTAATAAAGGTACGATTTTTAAACTTCATCATGATTTCAACATAAATCTTTAAAGTTATGTGAAAAAATAAAGACATTTTCATTCAAATGATACATTAATGTAAAATGTCTTGTCAAGACATAATTATACTGCTTATGAGCTGCTGGGAGTTTTGTCATCATTTTGTAGTTTCAGATGAATAAAAACTAAATCTTTATTATTAAATACATTTATTTTCCATCTTAGAGCAAAATAAAATAAGTCTAAAACAAATAACTACAGTGACACAAACAAAGTTACAAGTTTTTAGCAAAAAATGTAAAATAACTGATCGTTTTTATGCAATAAGCTCCATCTTAGAAGTTGATCGCCCCCTGCTGGTCAGAGTACAGTAACACACCTGGACAGGTTTAAACATAAATAAAACCAGAGACAGAGGTACTCCACATCGCCCCCTGCTGGTCAGAGTACAGTAACACACCTGGACAGGTTTAAACATAAATAAAACCAGAGACAGAGGTACTCCACATCGCCCCCTGCTGGTCAGAGTCCATCATCACATGAACCACACAGACTTATGCCCATTTAGCAGCAGACAAAGGATGCAGAGCATGTTATTATTTTGCTGAGCATGCAGCACAAAAAGGCACACAGGTTTGTAAAATGGAGGATTGTCACACAAGCGGTTACCTTGTGCCTCAGTGTGAGCCTCTGCTTGGAGAGACACTCCCTCTGAAACTCCATCTAACAGACAAGAGAGTCAAAGCTGATGCTGCCACACAAACCGATGACTGGTGTTAAATTAAACATGCGGGTCAGTTTTTAGTCTCTAACTGCTGATTTAGAAACATAAAAAGCAGTGGTGGAGGATGGAACGACAGATCGCGTTGTGTGTCCCGCAACAAATCCAGACCAGCTCTGAATTTGTTTTGTTCTCGTTTCCTCACCTTTGCTGAGATGGACCGGCATACTTTCAGATTTAAGCAGACGATTCTGAGTGTGGGCGTGGCTCGGAGGCGGCGCGGCGAGCGGGTGCTGCAGGACGGGTGCGGGCGCCGAGGCCAGGGACGAAGAGGAAGACAAGGAGGCGGCTGCGTGCACCTCAGTGTTTATGGGGGGTACACCGGACACGGCTGGACCCATGAGCTTCCTGCCGAAGTTCAGCAGGCTGCTGGAGACCTTGTTCATGTTGAGAGGAGCAGCTTTGGTCCCGGAACCAGACCTGGAACAAGAGTAAGACAGAAGAACTTACACAAGACATAAAGAAAAGAAGAATGACTTCTTTGCTGACTGGATTTGACTGGATTGTACCGAGTTTTGTTCATCAGGTCAGCTCCTCTTGTTTTGTAGTAGTCCAGGTTCTGCTGGAACTGGTAGTTTACAGGACGAGGATTGTTCTAAAAAAAGAAGAAGAAAAAATTATTASTGTGTCTTTAGTACTGCTCACAAACCATTCAAACAATTTAAAAAAAAGTGACATATAACTCGTCAGACTCAAGGGCCATCCCGACATGTTGAGGCCAGCAACAGCTTCAGCGATGTAATAATGTCTTAAAATATGAATATACTGAGTTGAGTTGAGAGCTCATAGAAGCTGGAAGACTGCTTAATAACAGAAAACATTCCTAAAAATATTGGTAACAGCAGCACTTGACTTCTGTTCTGCAGAACTTAGAACATTAAAGCTATTTAAGATCATCAACTCCCTCCAAGTAAGAAACACATCCATGGTGAGAGGTAATGGTAACGTAATGCACCAGGAGTTCAGGACATGATTCCATGCAACAAATGGTGCACTAACACTGCTTTAACTATTAAAAAAAATAAACAAATGTGGCCTATTTTTCAATTTTGCAATTGTCATTTTTCTAATTTAATTTAAAACAACAAAAAAACCCTGATTATTTATTTTCCCGTTTTATTTTGAACTGGAAAAACAGGAGAACGAACCATACACAGATTACTTCACCATGTAAAATCTCCATTTCACTGTATTTTTCTGCAGCCCGGTTGTTCTGGGAAGTAGGAATTTCCCACTTACAAGTCATAAATTTAAACTGGAACGCCCCTCCAGTGGGAATTCCCTGTTAGAGAGTAGGAGAGTTCAATGGCAGCGAGCTGACAACTCAACACCGAGTAAAACTACTAGTAGTATTAGCAATACTAGAATTCTTTATTTCTTTCCCAATTAGAAGTACACGTAGTACTTTTCAGTGTTTATAAGAGAATGTTAAAACAGTGTTTCCATGAAGGAAATACCAGGTAGAGCCCAGTTTGTGTTTATCAGCTGTGCTCAGCTGTAGCTGTAYTGTTTAGTCAAAGTTAAACACAAAATGTCAAAGTTGATCACAACTGGCTCTTTGAGGGCCACCATGTTTGATACCCCTGATATATAATCTGATTATAATTATAAAAATAAATAAATAGTTTAGCTAAATGTAAATTAACTTTCTGTAGGTGAGAAGACAGAGTAAAACAAAACAGTTTCACTGTTAAATATGAGAAAACAATTCAATTCAGAATGTTCACATTTACAAAAATAAAAAAGCTTTTTTAAATGAAGTATTTTCAACACTTTTTCCGCTAAGAAAATCAGCAAAGTGTCAACAACATCAAGCACAAGTGCTTCGAGTTTAAACATCTAGTTGTGTTTTCAGTGCAGCCTGCAGAAGTGCCTCACATCACATGAACCCTGTTGAAGGAGGAAGCAGCTACAGCATTAACAGTTTCACAGCGGGAACAGCAGACCTTTGAATTTTGTGTTCTTTTTATACTAAGCACTTCGTTGCACTCATAATCAGTACTGTGGTAGGAAAACCAAACTCTCACAAAGCTGACACCTAAAAGTTTTCAACAAAAGGCGTGAAGCAGAGCGTAAAATGTAACCGTGGTTTAAAGATTTAAAGACGTTTTCAACCGGAGCAAACTGGAGGGGGGAATTGAATGCAAAGAAAATGCTTATGTAGGCAAATTTTAGTCACTTTGTTACAAACTGGTTACTTGTTCAAACATTTAAATCAGACAGTTTGAAAGAAACAAAAACAAAAAAAATCCTAGATTATCCAACTGCTGGGTTTAAGATTAAACTGTGTCAATATTATCTAWACTTTTAGGTTTGTTACTGAAAAGAAGTGAAGTGTTTGAGTCTATAAACACCACATCAGTCCATCTCTGACATTATAATGTGAGTTTAAGAGCAGAATGATTTCTTTATAAAGACACAAAGATTAAATGTAAATAATAAACAACTTTTAGTTATTAACCTCAAAGTTCACACCTTTGGCTGAACCTGTGCTTCATACCTTTCATGCCCTCTGGACACTAATAATCACTTTAAAGTGAGGGACTGGAACAGAAACATTTGCTGCCAATTTTAACTTATTTTTTTTTAGAATCTTATCACTTCTTCACAGTGCAGCAGCACTTTAAAGATGCTTCTTTTTTGAGGGTTATAAACTACAAGGCGGTTGCTCGAGGATTTCAACCCCCAGTTTTTGCGTGTCGGTGTTTCACTTCTGCAAATCTTCTCCTTCCTCGGAACAAAACAAATAAATAAATAAAATAAATCACTCTAAGTGTGGCAGATCGTGAGTGAAGGTGTAGGAGTAGGTATATCCCTGCTCCAAGCCTCACACCCCCTTTGCAAGATTTATTGCAACATTTCTCACTTCCTTTTCTTCACTTAACGTATGGCAAAGAGGCAGCAGGAAATACACAGCATTAGGGTATTTTAGAAGACTGGAGACTATAAAAAGAGCTCATTCAACAATAAATGTGGTTATAATTAAACATTGGCTTACTTTGGGATCTCGAAGGAACAGAGCTTTTTGCAGCAAAGCGTTGATGTCTCCTATTGGAGGATAGTGCATCAGCAGGCCCAGGCAGGTCTGGAAGTTACTAGCAATTACTAAAAAAAAAGAACAAAAACAGCCTAATTAATTATATATTTTACTTTTAAAAGAGAACTCAATTTTAGAATCCAAGTAAAACCTTTCTAATAGAGAATAACAGATTGTGCTACAGAGCTGCAGATACTGTTTGTTTTATGTTCAGTGCAAACAGACAGCCTGACAGATAAGGTTGCATCACTTACAGAAGAAAAAAAAAGATGGCAAAACTAATAGACAGTATTCTGTTTGAGGTAATGTGACCACATATAATTAATGTGAACAGAGTAAATCTTATTCTTCCACTTGTTTGTGTGTTTTATGAAATAACACGCCACAAACACATTCATTCACATTCATTGGATTGTTTGGATGGATGGAAGGAGCCTACAAGCATCTCGGATGTAGAGCAGCATGGCAACGAAGACGTAGTCCACRAGGTCCAGAGTGATGCTGTCAGCAAACAGAGCATCCCACACCACCAGAAGGTCCTGCAGAGGAAACTCACGACCAAACAGCAGACGAACCCACCGGCTGGAAACAAACAGAAATCCCAGACAGCATCTGCTGAAAACTGCGTCCATTAAATACTTGGACCAGATGAAAGTTTAAATACTGACATGCCATAGATTTGGGGGGCGATCTCCAGCCGGTTTAGGTGCATGTGCAGTTCAACGTCGTGCTTCTTCACCAGCTGGTCCTGGATGCGGTTGACTTTGGTCACGATGGCAACAGATGGCCCAGCGTCTTGGGGCCGAGCGAACGGGATGCTGGTCAGCATCTCTTCCTTACCCTGAGGAAGCAGCTCATTATCTCACTGGCACACCATGAAACACARCATCCACCTAATCAACATTCAGCACGTGTTTAAAAAGTGCAGTTGTCCCAGTTAGCAAAATAGATCCTGCAAGTTTCTGCTGCTTAAATAACAATTCACATAACATMGAATCCTGTTTATAACCTACCTAAAGGCTGAACAGTTTCTCTCTTAATAGATATTTAGATTAGTTTGAGTCAATATTGTTTCAATAACCAAAGACTAAACTGTTTTCTTTCATAAAGAAAACACTTTAGTCTTTGGTTATTGAAACAATAACCAAAGACTAAAGTGTTTTCTTTCATAAAGAGTTCCCCTTGATGTCACTTCCTGTTTCACTTTGGCTGAGCCAAGTTCAAAAGAAAATGTGCAATTTTGTGACAAAATGGGTAAAATCATGTTTAAGTTTCTGCCAAAGAGGTTTAAGGTACTTTAAAGGGGACCTAATAYGCAAAATTCACCTTTTTTTACTTACATTTGGGTCTGTACTGCTTCTAAAAACAGTCCAAGCACCAAAAAAATACACCCAGAGGTATTTTTACTATAAGTAAATGTATTTTTCTGTGTCTTGAAATGAACTGTTTTCAAACACCTCCATTTGTGATGTCACAAGTCACACTCCAACCCACCCCAACCTAAGCCCAGCCCCTCTCCTTGTAACCCAAGCTGAGACTCCGCCCACTTCTTCACAGGACGGTTCTGCTGTTTTTAGAACAGTCATGGAGAATAGAGATGCGTGGCTTCATTTTATTTTTATTTTTGATGGCAATGTTGTAGCAATATTGACAAAGAAAGTTGTAGTTTGTGTAAATAATTCTCCCCCCAGCCATGTATCCCAAAAAGAAGTCCATCTAAGCTCCATTAAATCCCAGGTTTTAACTGGAGCGACCACACAGAGCTGGTGTTTCCAGCTGCACATCTCCAGCTCAAGGCCCTGTCACACTAGACAACTTAAGCCAACTTATGAACATTTTAAAGACATTTACGTTGAAGGTGGAATTGAAAAAATCAACAGGAAGCTTCTTTTCAGTGTGTACATAATGTAATTCAAACAAATTGATCAAATATTAGGGGTACAACGATACAGAAAATTCACGATTCGGTTTGTTCGATATTTTAGTCTCACGGTTAAATATTTTTTTCGATACAAATAACAGAAATTTCCATGAGCTTTTAAACTTGTAATTTATTGAAATTATTTATGAACATTTGTTTAACTTCAAAAGTACTGTTTTTAAATTAAATTTAAACTTAAATGTTGCTGAAACATCAAGTTTCTCCATGGATCTGCGCTCGAAAATACAGCCTAGGTGGAGTAGTCGAACACAGATCCTCTGATCCTTCAACACAGAGCATCTTCAGAAGACAAGTTGATAAAATAAATTAAAAAAAATCTGTATTGTTCGATACAAGTGTGTATTGAACGGTTCGATACGGGTACATGTATTGTTGCACTTAGCAATTTAGACATAAAAAATGTTTCATAAGTCGTCTGGAGTGACAGCGTCTTCAGATTGGTTTGTTTGAACTAAACAGATGCAGTTTATATAACCCTATGGGCCTCTGTAGTATCTGACAAAATAGCTGCTCAACTTGTGTTTGCCAAAGTGCACCTGCTGTTACCATGGCAACAGGCTGTGTAAGTCAGATTAAGCAGGACCGAAACCTTCAGTTTTTTTTTGTTTTTTTACAAAGCACACCTCAAATGTCATGCAAAGCGTTGAGTCGACGCGCTTCGATGCACGATCGAATCCAAAAGTCAAGCGCAGCTTTTAAGCAACAAACCCACCTTCCTCACTTCCCTCTCGAAGCTGGAGAACCAGGGTTCCGCCGTCTCCATCAGCTGCGAGAACATGGCGCTGCGCCGGAGGAAGCACAAGTAAATATGCGGAGTGGAAACATCCAAAAACAAGAAATGTAAAACAGGGTAAAACGTCCGAACTCACTAAGCGTCGTGCTCCAGATACGCAGGGTTCAGCAAACATTTCATCTCCTCACTGTGGAAGAAGATAAATTAATTATTGGTGATTGTAAATAAACACTGACTGCAGAGGGGCAGAGGTGAAGTGTGCTGAAGACAACTCAACGGGAACAGACTGACCCGGGGCTGGCGGTCTCACTGGCATGCTGGAAGGCCTGGTGGTCACAGTGCAGCACAAACACTATGGGAGCCAGCAACTCGTGCATCCCCTGCAGACACACAGAAACACAGAGGGCCGGGGCAGACAGAAAACATGCTTCAGACCTTCTGTAATAATGATACACGAGGTTTCTAATCTGTGATGGCAGCTTTAATTTAGAGATTATTAGCCACTGATCGACTGAGTGTCACTTCCAGTTTGCAAAGAAGATGCTGAACTGGCCATCTATTCATTTACTGGGACCTAATACGGACACTTGTAATGATTAGGTTACAAGGGCATTTTTGTTCTTCTGTCTTAACTTACCRTGCACACAAAAACACACAATTACCAAAACTGTGGCTTTCTTTAAATTCTTCAAATTGTACCTGTTTATACAGTAACTGCTCATTTTCTCTGGCGTAACAGAAGAGAATGTCCGTCAACTTGGTCCTCACATCCTCGTCCTGAAAGTACCGGATCTCAGGGAATCTTTATGCAAATTTAAAAAAAACAACAAACAAAGAWCATCACTTTATGTTGGCGGCAGCAGAAAACAGGAGCTGAAAATCAGATTCACATACGTTCTAAACACRTCCTGCTTGATCATCCCCTTCAGCTCTTTGTCCTGAAAGAACTTGTTCCACAAGCTCTGGACAGAAATAAATAATATTACAATGAAACAACCTGATGAGTTTGTATCAGGGTTGTCTTTTTTAAGTCAAAATGTGGGGAAACAAATAATGAGACTATAAGTGCACAGAGCCTCACCCCTTCATCCTGGGACAACGGGTTGTTGACCACCAGGTCCTGCTGACCTGCAGCTTTACGTGGGTTAGTGATGTGCTGTGAAAAACAAAAATGCACAACATTTAAAGTCCGACACATAAGAGATCAAAAAGTCCCACAAAACCCGCAGCAATACAATTTTATTGTTTGGAGTGATTATTTAAATTTTAAAACAATGGGTAGTGATGTTAGCAATTCAATTCATTTGGTTTCCTCAATAAGTGAGATCGTTTTAGTAGTGTGCAAAATTCTCTTTATATTCTGAAACAAGAGTGAGACTTGTGCCATTTTAAATCTGTTTTAAATATGTTATTTTGTTAACTTTTACTACGTTTTTTTAATTTATTCAATTATAACTCACTCCCCGCACCTGACTGTTTTAAAGGAAAAAGGGTTGWGTTTGTTAAAGCTGCTCAATAATATATCCCACGAACATTAAAAAAACGYTGTTTATAAGGCAGCTTTCTAAACAAAATATATTTTTATGTGTTAAATTTAATTTTTTGTAAATGTAGCAAAAAAACTAATTGTGTCTTTTTAACAAGCTTCAAGTTAAAAAAACTGAGAGCTAAAAGGTCCCATTTAGTTTTTTTTTCTTAAGTGTATAAACAACACAGGCTCATCCCATTTTTTCCTCAAGCTTTAATCATTCATAAGTTTGTTTGAAGCAGCTTAAAAAAGCAAGATCTGAAGTGAAATCTAATTTAAAAACATGTCTAAAGAAAACTTTTCAGATTTTTTTTTTTTTTGAATCCTGATTTGCCTGGATTACTATAAAGCTTTAAGAACTTTTGCACTGGAGAACGTTAAATTATTACAAGGAAGTCTGTCTCCTCTGAAAAAAATTATAAAACAAACGGAGGGTGATTTCAGATACGTGCAAAGTGCCGTTTGTCTAGAAAAAAAGGTTTGTATGATGATTTGTGATCAAGATACTGTCTGGGAAAAGGCACCCTCACCGTCTCTTTGATCTTCTCATATTGGGCCCGGAGCTCTTTGGTCCTGCTGATCCACTGCCTCTTATCTTCAGGAAGAACCTCCAGGTATAACTACAGACACACAGACTGTTACCTCAATAAAAAACAATACATATAGGGTCATAAACACACATAAAGCTGTCTTCTTAGCACAAACTCTGGGCTTTTATTTTCAAAAACTCCTAATCTATTTGACAGCAACCTTCCAACACATGCTCCGAAAGCGGCTACTCCTCAGCCGACCGCTGATGCCAGCCTGCCGGATCCTGGCCAGGTAATTACTGTTGAGGAACAAGTCGTCCCATTCTTTCCTGCACGGGGAAGAAACAAAATTTATGAGCTCCACATCCAAATTTGGAAACACTTTTTCATCAAACCTGTCATCCAGCAGTAAAATCAGAGATCACAGCGGTGAACTGGGCCAAGCATTTTTGGTATAGTGGAAAAACGTACCTGTATGAGTGGAAAGTGGACTGAGAGTTAGAGCTGCTGTCAAGAGATCCTCCTGATCACAAAGAACACAACAAMAAAAGATGTTAGTAAAAGAAAGAGAAAATAGAAACAAATCTGATAAAGATGGTCAATTTTTAACTCAACAATATTACAAACTATAAAAACAAACCTTTTATTGCCTTCAACTGACCGTACATTTATAATTTAGGCCTTCTTTTACACAGTGCAGTGCTTTTGCAGTGGAGAGGAAAAGGATCATAAAAAAATAAAGTGAAATAAATTAAAGCTCCATACTGTTCTTCTTCTTTATTGGAAATAATAAGTCTAATTTGTCCTACAGGCTGAACTCAAGTCAGAGCTGTCTGTCAACATTAGTTAAAGGGGTAGATCAGTCCACAGGGATGCTCAGAATGAATATTCATCAGATCCACAACATGCCAGGCCATGAGACTTTATTTCTCTCACACTTAACCAGAAAAACACCCGTTCAGCCCAAGGCTTTATCTGTCAAGTCTCTGACTCAGACATCAGTCAGCTTTTATCTGTATGAACTCTTCCACAAACCTCTTATTTAAATATTCAGAGGGGACTAATAGTAGGGGCACAAACACACACACGTATATATATATATATATATAT